TGGCCAGGATGCTCTCCTGGTCAGGGTGGAGGGTGGCCAGGATGCTCTCCTGGTCAGGGTGGAGGGTGGCCAGGATGCTCTCCTGGTCAGATGGACTTCAGCAGGACAAGCCAGGATTTTTTTTTTCCAACACTGTAATCCAGCAGTGGCTGAGCTTCATCTTCCCTGCTATCCAACACCTTTGTGTAGCTCTGGGTATTTATTCTGCAAATATTGGCTTTAAAGTGACCGGTTTCCTGCAGCTTCACTGGTTGTCCTTTAAAACAATGGGGGGGGGGAAACGAAGGGGGGTGAGGGCAGGAGTGGAGGGGAGGTTTTCCAGAGTGGAAAACCAGGGGCTGTGGTGTCTCTAGGGGTTGTAAAGTCCCCCTGCTCAGCCCCTGTGTGTGTCCCCACCAGGGAGAGATGCTGGGGGGGAGATAAGTGGATGTCCAGCACCTCCTGGGCTGCAGAGCTCCAGGCAAAGGGGGTGGGTTGGGAATGATGGCACAGCACTGGTGCAGGGGGTCAATCCATAATCCATAAGTGGGAAAAGAAGGGTGGTGGCAGCAGAAGGGGGACAGTTGGCTGTGCCTGCTGGGTGAGGAGTTTTTCCTTATCTGCCTCCCAAAAGACACCCTCCTGAACGTCTTCCTGGCCATTGCTGTGGACAACCTGGCAAATGCCCAGGAGCTGACCAAGGTAGGGATGAGATTCCTGTTTCTTCCAACTCAGAGAGCAGCTGATGACCCAGAATTACACCTGATAATGAGCCTGCTCATGCCATACCTCTGTTCACCAGTTTTCCCAGCAGAGCAGGACCAGGAGGTTTATTCTTCTCGGGGTTTTGTTTCATTCCAGGCTCATTGCAGTGAATATTTCGTGCCCTTTCCTTTGTTTTATCACAGAGTGGGCAGTGGCCATTGCTCATCTCATTGCTGTGGGGAGGTGCTCAGGCACTTTTGCTGTTTCCAAGAGCAGAGGAGAAGCAATTCCCAGGTTTGGGCTAAGCTGAAGCTCAGGATGAGCAAAGGCAGGGGTTGTGTTGCTGCCTTTGTAGTCTCACACTCGTGTTTCTTCCCTTGCTGAAGTTTGGGGAGGATTAAAGAATTAAAATTTTCCAGTCAACCCCCTGGAACTTGCAGAAGGTGTTTGGAACACCCAGTGAAGGTGTTAAACCTTCCTGCCCCTCACCAGGGTAAGAGAAACCTGAGGCACCAACCTGAGCACAGGCAGAGAGCCAGGTCCTGGCAAGAGATGGAAATGACACTGATGGAACTTCAGTGTATGCAGAATTTTGGGTATAGATATATATCTATATATATACAGATTTATATTGGAGTATCCCCTGTGGAGAAGATTTCTATTGGAGCATTCCCTATGGAGAAAAACTGGCAGCCTCAGGATTGCACAAGAAGCATTTCAAGTGCACTGCCCCTGATATTTGTATTATTACATACTTTGCATTTGCCATTGTACCACACTCAGATGTGTTTATGAGCAGCATGAGGGTTTTTTTTTTTTTGCACATTTTGCACATTTCCAGTTTGTTCTCACTGATAGAACCATGAACCCCCATTGCTGTGTTGCTGCTGCCACTGAAACCTGGGAAATAAACTCTGCAACCAGCTTTTTTTCGGGTTAGAAAGCCAAAAATACTCTGTTGCAGTGCTGGATGCATGGGGATTATTCCTCAAAGCTTTCATGAGCAGCAACCCCCCAGCCCAGGTTATATCCATGGCAGTAATACATACTCATCACATTTATATTGCATATTAATTATATTTCATTAATACATGAATATATATTAATTATTTCAGTGAACTTATTTGGCTATGAATAGGGGTCTTTCCAGGGGCTTTGTGGTCATTTGGGTACATCTCATTCCCCAAAATTCCCTTATATGCTCCTGGATCTTCTGATGGATCCCCTTCCCATGGGGGTATCTCGAATACGTGCTCAGGTCATGCTGCACTTCTTCAATCATTCTTTGCTCCAACACTCCATCAAAGTTCTCAAAACTAAGACACCTCCCAGGACATATTAATCACTAACATAAGTAAATAATGAAAATAGTGGCTGGCACAAGACTTACCAGTCATGGATTTAGGGAGCTACCACAAGGCCACCCTGATCTCTGGCATTTGTCCTGAGCTCTGTGTGGTACAAACCTGAGAATCAACCACAGATAGAGGGACTATACACTGATGGTAAAGGAATTTTTCAACATCTCCCACTGCTGCAGAGACTCTTTCTTGAAGAATCATAACTTGTTTGGTAACACTGCCCTTGGCATCAGTCACAGGGGCAAAAGCAGCACCACAAGCACCTCAGGGGTTGTGTTTTACAAGATTTCTCTGTTCCTTGTAGTAGAAGGTCATAAACCATGTGCTGCTGCAGTGGGCAAGGATGTTTTCTCTTGTTGGAGTTGTAAGAAGGTGCAGGAGTTCATTCCCCATCCCTGAAAGTGTCCAAGGCCAGGTTGGAGCAACCTGGGCTAGTGGAAGGTGTCCCTGCCCAGGGCAGGGGGTGGAATGAGATGGTCTTTAAGGTCCTTTCCAACCTAAACCATTCTCTGATTCAATGGAAGTGTTCAAAAAGGTGTGGATGTGGTGCTGAATCAATCACAGAATCACAGAATCACAGAATCAACCAGGTTGGAAAAGACCTCTGAGATCATCGAGTCCAACCTGTGACCCAACCCCACCTTGTCACCCAGACCATGGCACTGATGCCACATCCAGGCTCTGCTCAAACACCTCCAGGGACGGGCACTCCACCCCCTCCCTGGGCAGCCCATTCCAAGGGCTGATCCCTCTCTCTGCAAACAACTTCTGCCCAATGGCCCACCTAAACCTGCCCTGGGGCAGCTCAAGGCTGTGCCCTCTTGTCCTGCTGCTGGTTCCTGGCAGCAGAGCCCGACCCCCCCCGGCTCCCCCCTCCTGTCAGGGAGTTGCAGAGAGTGAGAAGGTCTCCCCTGAGCCTCCTCCTGTCCAGGCTGAGCCCCCCCAGCTCCCTCAGCCTCTCCTCACAGCACTTGTACTCCAGACCCTTCCCCAGCCTCGTTGCCCTTCTCTGGACATGGATTAGTGGTGGATCTGGCAGTGCTGGGTTGACTTGATGATCCTGGAGTGTTTCCAGCCTCCAGGGTTCTATGGATACACCTCAGGCAGACACAGATTTCTCAGCGTTTCCCACCCCCCAGTCAGAATCCACATCCCTCTTGTGGCTGAGTTTGTCTTTCCCAGCTTGTCTTTCCCTCTGTGGAGCTGCAGGAGTGGCTCCAGCTCCCAGCTCTGCCTGGAGAGTGTTTCCTGACATCCAATATCCAGCCCAGACTGTGCTCTCAGGAGCCTGATAAATGTTCCTGTGTCTCAGGCCATGCTCCTCATCCCCCTCTCTCACAATCAGCTCAGGGCTGCATTTAATGGCTCTTTGGTTTATTTTTCCTGGGAATTTTTTCCCTTTCAATGGCTCAGCTGTTTCTATTCTTTCTAACACTCCCAGAAATCTCCAGCCTGGAGGCACAGATCCTCCCAGATTTATGGGAATCCCTTGCATGTGCTAAGAGAGAGGAGCAGGCCCAGCACAACTCTTGGATAATGAAGCTCATCCTGCTTCTTTCTTAATCCTTTAAGTGCTTTCTTGTGAATATTTCAGCAGCTGACAGGGCCACTTAAAAACCTGACTTTGTTGATGTTTATAAAGTATAATTAAATATTGATGGATTCAGCAGCATGGCCGAAGCAGAAAGCTTCTTGAGAAACTCTCTTTTTTTTTTTTTTGCTTAATTTTATTTACGATCCTAAAAAAAAAAAAAAAATCACCAGGGCTTGCAAAAGAAGAGGAAAAAGATAAAAGTAATTCAATTACACACATACCTGGAGAATGAGGGATTTCCTGCTAAGTAAATACGATCATGCAAAAGCAAAAAATGGCCCAGAGATACAATTTAGTTACTCAGGAGTCTGTTGATCTCGGGGGACTTTTTTGACATTTATGCTGTAAATGGAGATCAGTGCTGCACATAATGTGGGCAAACCAGGAGCAGTTGGTAACTGCCTCTGTTTTGGGAAGACACAAAGCTTTCCAGCCTCAGGACTGAACATTTCAACCGAGATTTCCACTTTTGGATGATAATGGGGATTTATTTAGCGTGGCATTGTGACCATTTCTTAACTGGGCCTTGTGACCTGTAAAGGAATTCTTGGAATTGGAACTATATTTAACTTAAGCTTGGTCATCCAGTGCATGTTACAAAACTCACCAGAGCTTAGGAATGACTCATAAAAGTGAGGGGATAAAAAAGAATCACCTTTGTTTTCAATCTATAAAGAACCTGCTCTCTCCTCTCCTCTTCTGTGCTGCCCTTTTCTTCCCTTCCCACTGACTCAAACTCTGCCAACCCAATTTCTAGTGATTTCTGGGAACTCTTCTAAATGCTTCTGGGTTCTCCACCCTCTCTTTTTTTCCCAAATATTGGCAGGTTTTTCTCCCTGTTCACTTACTGAGATGGAATCTACAAGTTGCCCCCCGAATTTGCTTTTAAAATCTTCTCTCCACTGACCATCCCACCTTTAATTCCTTTCTTTGCTTGTCTTCATGGCTTTTACTTTCCCTATTGAAGTGTCTTTATCTCAATCCATGAATTTTGTCACTTATGCTCATGGATTGAGATAAATTCATGGATTGAGATAAAGTAGTTCCTTCATCCTCATCAAACTTGAGTGTAAAGCCACCAAAACTGACCCTTTATTTTCCTAAATATCTTAAAAGCACAAAGTGGTTTTTTTTGATCTCAGTGATCCCTGAAAAAACAGGATAAAATCATGGAATGGGGGGGTAGGAGGCATGTGTGAATTTGACATAAAAATGTATGAAAGTGTTGAGAAATTCCCAGAAATAACAGACTGGAGCAGCCAAACCAAGAGTTGAACATCCATGGATCCCCCTCCTCCTCCCCCCCAACAGTGAGGGCTTTAATTGGTGAACTTATTAAAGAACAGTTGGTGTTAATGATCTCTATCATCACCATTAGCTCCAAAAATGGGGTTTGCCATGTGGTAAACTGGTTTAAATTAAGATTTAGGGCTCTACAAAACAGAAAGGAATCATAAAAGAGGGATGTCCTTATAGAGGAGACCTTTATAAGCACATTATGTGTAATGAGGGTGACAGGCTGGGCTGGTGGTGGAGGTGGGATGGATGGATGGATGGATGGATATTGCCATCAGAGCTCCAGTGAGACCTCTCAGGTCAAGTATCAGGCAAAAAAATTAACTAATTTTTGGAGTGATCAGCAATTTCTCTGTGGGAGGAGCTACAGAAATATTATTAAATAGTCTGCTAAATAAATACTGATATTTTAAATACTCTAAATAGTATTATTATTAAATAATATCATTAAATATCTGCTAAAGAGTGGGCTCGTTCTGAGTTGGGGATGGCTGAATTTACAGCAACACAATGGGTATTTTTTTGCTGTTACTTCATGATGTGGAATGCAGCAGAATTCCTGAGGCACCAGGGGGATAGAGCAGAAGCTACACATTTTAAAACCATTTTAAAAACTGCACCTGGTGCTCTTGGGGCAAAGAAAGAAAAAAAGAGCCTTTGATTTTAAGGCTGTCAGAGACTCCTCAAGAGAGGAAACAACTTGAACATACCTGGGGGGGAAAAGGAAATCCTTAAAAGCCTTTTAATTGGGGTTTTATTCATTAAAAAAATCTTATATTCTGCGGGTTTGTGATGGGCTAGGATGGGGTAGAGTTAATTTTTTATCACAGTAGCTGATGGCTGGGATTTGGATTTGGGCTGGAAACGGGATGTTTTATTAGTGCTGAGCAGCATTTACAGAGCCCAGGGGAGGAGACTGGGGATGCACAAGGATTTGGGAGGAAAAAACTGATCCAACTGACCCATGGAATGTTCCAGAATATATGGATTTACGCTCAGCACATAAAGCTGAGGGAGAAGGAGGAAAGGAGGGATCTTTGGAGGGCTGGAGTTTGTCCTTCCCAGTCACTGTTGCATGGGATGGAGCCCTGATGTCCTGGGCAGGGCTGAGGGATGTGATCACAGGGCTGCCTGTGGTGGGAAATGGGATTTAATGCCTTTCTTTGCTTGTCTTCATGGCTTTTACTCTCCCTATTAAACTGTCTTTATCTCAATCCATGAATTTCATTACTTACACTCCTCTGACTTTCTCCCCTCTCCCCCCAGGGTGGGTGTGAGTGAGCAGCTGCTGGCCAGGGTTAAACCATGAATCCCCTGGATCTCCAACCAGCCTCCAAACCAGTGATAAATCTACTGCAATTTGGCACCTGAGAAATATTGACTTTGTGTAATTGCTCAGCAGTCATTTTTTCATGGCCTGGCTCAAGTCCTTCATTCACTGCACTAAGAATTGCCTTGTTGTATTTGCTAACATTTGAAAAAGGAAAATAAAAAAAGAAAAATCTTATATGCTAACAATTTTTTCCCCTTAATTTTCCACCTTTTCTGTTTTACTCCTAAAGGAGAAAACAGTTTCAAAATGAGCTCAGTTGAAACAACACCAAAGTCAGAGCAAGGGGCTGTTTATGCAGACGGAATTGGGGGTGGATAAATCTCTGATTTCCCGTTTCAAAGCTGGATGTCTTGCTGCCTGCTCTTGTTATTTGAAGATTAACTCCCTCACAGCACTGCTGTTGAAGGGCAGAGAGGGAGAGACCTGTGGCCTTCCATAAAGTTTGACAGAAGAGCCTGTGACATGTGGTTATTCCCTGGCTGTGTGTGACGCTGATGTTGCCATCAGAGCTCCTGTGCTCATCCTGACATGATTTGAATATTAATTTGGCTGGCTGGAAAGTCTCAGGGCTGTTCACCCTGCAGGACCACTGATGATGAACCAGGCACTTTGTTTTTTGCCCTCATCCCATTGTTTGAGGTCCTGTGGTTTGAATCTGAGTGGTGCTTCTCGTGTTGGGTAGGAGGAAATAAATCCCAATTACACTCTGCAGACCCTTGCTGTGCCAGCAGAGCTTTGAAATCCTCATGGTGTGCAGAAATCATGGACAGAACCCTCTTTTGCTCTATGTCTGAGTCTACAGACCATATTTAATACTGTGCCTTTTTGTTTTCACCCTCTGAGTCCTCAGTGATTCATCTGAGTGGAAATATCTGGGGGAAAACTGCTGGGACCAGTCAAACCCATTGGGTTTTATTGACTTTATTCTTTCAAAGTCCCACACTGGTGAGAAGTCAGGGAGGATTTAGGAGCCTCTCTCCTGCCTTTCAGCAGGACGTGGCTTCAGGGTGGTTTTACACACACAGGGCTGGAGTGAAGGGGGCTCAGGGCACCCCAGAAATGTCCCACTCTTGGTCAAAATCTACATCCCTGTTGTGGCTGAGTTTGTCTTTCCCAGCTTGTCTTTCCCTCTGTGGAGCTGCAGGAGTGGCTCCAGCTCCCAGCTCTGCCTGGAGAGTGTTTCCTGACATCCAATATCCAGCCCAGACTGTGCTCTCAGGAGCCTGATAAACGTTCCTGTGTCTCAGGCCATGTTCCTCATCCCCCTCTCTCACAATCAGCTCAGGGCTCTCCCTGCTCTCCCTGCCCAGCGCTCAGGGGTGAGAGGAGACCCCAGAGAGGCACCAGAGCTCTGTGAGGGACACGTGCTCCTGGTAAAAACACATTGAGAACTTGACCAAACCTCTCATTTCTCCTCTCAGCTCGCACCAAGACCCTGCCCGGGGGTCCTTGCAGGGAGATATGAAAACCTGCCCCGTGTTAGTGAGTTCCCCCCGCTCTCCCAGCACAGCAGTGACAGTCCCACCCCAGCCATGCCTTGGGGAGCTCTGGGGGTTGTTGTGTGCTCTGATTTCTCTTGATTTCCCCCCTCCAGGACGAGGAGGAGATGGAGGAAGCCACCAACCAGAAGCTGGCCCTGCAGAAGGCCAAGGAAGTGGCCGAAGTGAGCCCCATGTCTGCAGCCAACATTTCCATAGCAGCGTAAGCATTCCTTGCTTATTTGGGAGCTTGAACCACTTGGGGTGTGTTTTTCAGTGTCACTGTGTGTCTGTTCCACTGGAGCATCCCATGGTACTCTGTGAGCCCTTCTAGACCATCTCTGTTCCTGGCAGGGCTTTAGGGTGGCTGAATATTCAGTGCTGATCACTTAACCATGAATTTAATCAAGGATTTCTTTCATTTGATGGGGTTTCTTTCGTAATACCTCATCTTTTGCCTTGCTCTAAATAACTGTATTTTAGAAGGTTATCTTTTTTTTTCTTTTTTAAGCTGTCCTAGGATAGATTTCACCAGGTGAAGTGTTAATGTGGCACTTTGGGTTTTTAATGACCAGAGGAATGTGAGCACGGAATGTATTAACTATTCTTTCACAATCTCTGAGAATTTAAATGTAAAAGCCTCCTCTTCAATATCAGCCTGAAAAATATGCTTGAAAGCCCTTTTTTTTGCTGTTTGAAAGAGTTCTGAGGTGAATAAAACCATGTATGTGAACAGTCACTGGCTTGTAGATGGAAACAGCAATTTGCATTTTATGGATGAGAACATCTGCACAAGTTCTGTGTCTCCAGAATCCCTGGAAAACATTGCTTTGGGCACCACCTTTCCATGGATCCTGATCTAACTGAAGATAAGATCTGTAGGTGGAAATGCTTGTCCAGGTGTTGGTGAGGTCAGTTCTGCCTGTGCTTGAAATGTGCCAACCTGGAAGTGTCCAAGGCCGGGTTGGACAGGGCTTGGAGCAACTTGGGATAGTGGAAGGTGTCCCTGCCCGTGGCAGGGGGTGGAACTGGATGAGCTTTAAGTTCCCTTCCAACTCAAACCATCCTGGGATTCTATTCTGTGATACCTCGCAAGGATTTACTGAAAAATAAAAGTTCTTCTGAAAAGTTCGTTGAACTCTTCTGGAATTTTAACATCAGGGCAACCAGCACCAAGATATTTGACTTTTACATTTTTACTGAGAGCTGCTGATGTTTTCCAGACCCTTTTTATAGGGGAGACCTCCAAGGGCTGGGGAAGCTCGGGAGTTAAAATAGAAATTTCCTGTTATTGCCAAATCTCTGGAATGCAGCCGGATCCCTCCTTGTTCTTTCAGTGCAAAGCTCTTGAGACCCTCGTTATTGGGAGTTTAATCCACTTCATCAAAGACAATGGGCCAAATGGAGCCAGTCTGTTATATGTGAAGGGAAAGAAGATTATTAATTTGGCTATTTTATTCTTCTTGCCATTTTAGTTTGCCATTTCTGCTTTAATCAGCTCCTCTTTATGCTGTGTCTGTTTGTTGGTTTTAAATATAATCTTTTCCTTACAATGCTTTCCTGTCCAGTCTTGAAGAGAAGCCAAATGAGGACAGTTGCTCTTGTTCTTTGATTAATTTCTTGGTCCTCTTATTTTAAAATGCGAGGTGATGATGAATATTTTCTTCTTTTTTAATCAATGTGAAGATTTCTTAGACATCAGCAGAAAAAACCAACCCACTTCAACAGAGTGAAGGTCTCACACCGCATTTTTAAATCGCTTAGAATCACTTTATTCCATGATTTTTTCACCTGGTTTTCAGTAGCACAGGGCCAGTTTTGTGACAGCAATTCAAACTGAATGCAAAAATATGGATTTCTGCTTATTTTGCCTCAAGTTGAATCTACCCAGACCCCACGTTTGTGGGAGCATTCAGTGAGCACAGCTGAAAGTCAGTCATTCCCACACCTCCTGACCCCCATCCTGGGATTTCCTCTTTGCTCTGCTGTAGGACCAGTGAGATGCTCCCAGGGCCTCTCAAATCTCACAGGGCTGTAATCTGGACAAAAAAATTGCATTAAGTTCAATAAGGTGATGCTCAAATGGATGATGACGTAGAGGAAAAGGCAAGGGAGAAGTTTTGTGAGACAGAAAGAAGTGCATGGATGGACTGCTGGCTCCTGATCCATAAGACATCTAATGAATCCATGTCAAAGCAATTTGTTTTATACCTAAATTCATCCACTGTGGACTCCAAAGGGAGCTTTCAGGTTTGAAGCACCTTTCCCTTGGATATCTGTGTCCAGTGGTGACACAAATTACCCCATCACTTCACTTTTTATGCTCTTAAACTGCTCAGTGATCCTGAAGATGGAGCAGATCCCGTGTCCATGGCAAGTCTCGTGGGATCAGATCCAGAGCTGGACATGCCAAGAGTGAAAAAGTGCTTGAAAATGGGATTTTTGGTGTACGGAAATATCACCACAAAAGCAGAGCTTGGGCACAAAGAAGTGAGAAAGAAACAGCTGTAAAACCAAGTGAGTGGTGAGCAAGGACTGGGAAAACTGGGATTGAGCTCCCAAAGGCCTCCCGCCAAGGTGGCTTCACCCAATCAGTCTGTATTTTTATTTTCTCCTGAGGAATCATTTTTTAGTTCTACAATTTAATTTTCTTTTCAGACGAAAACGAATTCATGTGAAAATTAATTTCCATGGCAGGCATCTATAGCAGCATGGATGGATGTTCTGAAAAAAAGAATCAACAAATTTTCTCTACCTGCATGAGTCAAACTGGTGTTAGCAGAGGGCACCATGACTTGCATTCCCTCAGTCACGATGTTCATGTCCCTGGTGTGCTTGTCCACCTCCCACAGAGGTGACAAAGCTGTCTCTGGGCTGAGCCTGGGGAAGAGTCCTGCTGGCTGTTGTGCTGGTTCACTGCTGAGGTGCTGTGCTGGCTGGTTTAGTCCTTTCTCTTGTCAGTCCTGCATCAAGGACTGAGGGTGTGGATCTTCCAGGCCTTTCCACCCTCTGTGGTGACCCTGAGATCAGCTCAGTGCTATCATTACACCGAGCTCGTGGGTTTGATCCCAGTTTAAGAGCTGGACCTGCTGATCCCTGTGGGTCCTTCTGACTCACAATATCCTGTGATTCTCTGTCTGCTCTTCCATCTCTGTTTTTCCCATGCCTGCAGTTTCCCTGCACAAATTACACAGAATCCCGGAATCAACAGGGTTGGAAAAGACCTCTGAGATCATCGAGTCCAACCTGTGACCCAACCCCACCTTGTCACCCAGACCATGGCACTGATGCCACATCCAGGCTCTGCTCAAACACCTCCAGGGACGGGGACTCCACCCCCTCCCTGGGCAGCCCATTCCAAGGGCTGATCCCTCTCTCTGCAAACAACTTCTTCCCCATGGCCAACCTAAACCTGCCCTGGGGCAGCTCAAGGCTGTGCCCTCTTCTCTCCTCTCCTCTGCCACTCCAGCCTCCTTTCAGAACTGAGCTCCAAAAAATCTTCACTCTTGTGTTGGCTGCAAAACATCATTTCCTAAGCATAAAAACCTGGTTGCTTATTTAGTGTGTCAGCTTGGAGGGTCTGAAGAGGCACCTTCACCTTCACACTGCTGTGTGAGCCACGGATTGCTTTGTGACTGATGGATGTCCTGGGGATCTCTTTTAATAACATGCTCATCACTGCAGTGGTGTCGAGGCGTCATCTGTCTCACATCTGCCTCACAGGGCTCCCTTACAACACTCTGCACTTGTTTGTAGCTCCTTCATTCCAGGATTCCTATGGTTTGCCTCCTGCTCCACCACAGGGTGATGGATTTGCCTGACCACAGTTTGTCTCTTCACCCGGTGAACTCTACCCCAAAGGGCCCCTTTAATTTTGTGGCTTTCCAGGTTTAAAACCTTAAGGTGGTACACGTTGCTTTTGTCATTGTTGCAATGTTTGCTTGAAAATATGTGTTTAATTTGAGCCCATTGTTCCATTCTTATTTTTGTGATTTTTTTTTTGTATGTGTTTGTTTTCTGTTTAGCATTTTCCTTGCTTTGTTGTTTCTGGAGGTGAGTTTTTGGGGTCGTTCAGTTTGCCCAGCGTTGTGTTGAAGACCCTCTGTGTCCTACAACATTGAGACCACTCAGCCTCTGGAACTGAGCCACTGCACAGACCAAGGGGTCTTTGGAACAAACCATTGGTGCAGCTCCTGGCTGGCCAGAATGGAGGAGGGGGGAAAAGGGGATGATTGGAAGGCAACGAACTTTGTGGTGCCACTGGAAAGTGGAAGGAAGAGCCATCAGGCTCGCAGAGACCCCAATGCAAACATATCTTTTATTCCCTCTTTTTGCTCAACCTGATGCCTTAATTCCCTGTGTTTGGGTTCCTCCTCCACCTTTTCTATGCCAGCCAGAGATGCACCAATGGCACGTACAAAAGGGGCTGAGATGAGCACACCTGGCCCAGCCAGACCAACCAGAGCTGTGGCTTCCCTGCCACCCAGAGCCCATGGATTATCCAGTGGCCTCTCTTCACCTTTTCTTGGGAAAATTCTTAAAATAGGAATTTTTTTAGCAATCCTAAATTTGTAGGAGCCTGTAGGTAGTTGTGTGAAGTCACACTGAGTGAAACCTTTTTGCATTCTGTGACTTTGGTTCAGTTTTTTTTTTTTTTTTAATTCCACGTGGTAAGAGGTTACAGTTGTAGCCAGACCCAAGGAAATTATTCAGTCACAGGGGAGATGAGTTTTGGATGGGAGGAGAACTTCCCAGATGTGGTGGAGGAAATGTGGTGGACAGTGAGATAGACCTCATGGATGTGGGCACCAAACCTAAACGCTGTGGAATTACCCAGTGCCATTTCCCCGAGTTACCTGTGCTTCCCAGGACAACCTTCCAGCCTCCAAAGAGCTCTTCTTCTCCAGGCTCTGACTGGTTTCTGCTGGTCCCTCACAGGGTTGTTCAGAGCAGTTGACAGTTTAATTGCAGCCCCACAGCAAGTTAGAAAAGCTTCAAGAGCAAAGAGAGGTGGCCCAACCCTTCCCCGTGACTTCTCAGAGCTGCCTGTCCCTTTTGTACCGGTCTGGGGGCGGAGGGGAGGGCGGGGGAATTGCTCTGTTCCTCCAGGACATTTTCCATCTCAGAGGCTCCATATTTTCCCCCCTGTCTTGGGAACACTGTGGTCTGTTCCCACACCTCTGTTGGGCTGTGGATGCCCAACAAGGACCCAGCAAGGAGCGTGTGTGAACACCCAGCCCGTGTCCCTGCTGTGCTGGGGGATGTGTAGAGTAGAAGAGTTGTTTATCTCTTGCTGGCTCGTGATTTCTTCCCTTTTCTTTTCCCCCCTTGGAGTGTGTTGGTGTGTGGGGTCCCGTGATTCCTCCTGTTAGATTTACCTTTTTTGTCCTTGCTGGTGGTGTGCCAGTGACTGAGCTCCACCCAGAGACCCTCTCTGTGCCCTGTCCCTCGGGGATGGTAAGTAGCATCGAGTGGAACTCAAGTACTTTGCTTTGGAGAAGGAGGTGGCTTTGCTTTGTGGTTTCACACCTTGGATTTCCAGCACGAATTCACTCAAATTTCTGGTTTCAAAAAAAGCAGCAGTGGGAGCAGAGGAGTGAACCTGGAGAGTGCAGGGCTTGTGTAACAGGGGCTGGCCGGGTGACAAGGAGACTTGGCAGGAGGAGAGCGTGGCCTCCACCCTGCCCCAACCAAGGCTGGGATAAACCCCCCGGGTCGTCCCAGCCTCCTGCTGAGGGATGTGGAGGTCCCTCTCAGCAATTCAACCCAAAATTGCCACAGGGGTTGCACGAGACTTGGTGCTGACTTCAGGCAAATGAGGGCAGCCCAGTACATTCTCCTCCATCCTGAGTTTTTCCACCTGTTTTGCCAGAGAAATTTCTTAGTTGTGCTCGAGGCCATTAGTGCTTGTTCTCTGCAGGGTTTCCCTGACATCCTGGGGGTTCAGCCTCCGGCCAAGGAGTAAAAAGATCCCCAGCTTGAGCAACCTGGAAACAATCATTTTCTTGGCAAGCAAGCAGGGCATGCCAACCCCACTTTGACTCCTATTTCATTTGGCACAATAAAAATGTAGAAATACTGAAGCTTAGGTAGCATATTTTACCTGTTTCAGCAGATTATTTGCTTCAAGCAAAACTTTTATGATGCCTTTCATAATTTCTCTTATATTCATGCCAGGTTTCTGAACTTTTGGATTTTGTGTTATATATATATTACCCAGGCCAAGATTTCTGTTTAGAATAATCCATTAATTGTCATAAATGTATATTAAAAACTCTGCTTATATGATATCCAAAGGACATTAGACTTTAATTGGCCTTCTGGTTTGCTGGTATTGATTGTTAACAGATTAAAACTCTCATGGAAGCAGGAGAAAAAATGCTGCAGCTGGAAAGGCAAACCCAGGAGGTGAAGGGATTTCATTTTCAGTCTTGGAGACAGTTCTTTGAATGATGTAGATTGATAAAAATTATCTTTTATAACTATGAAAAAATTAATGCCTCATTCAAGATCTATCATGCTTTTCTGTAAATTCCCTGCCAGAGTCAGAATAAACTCTTTTTCTGTGTAATTCAGTGATTTCCATGTTTAGAACCCCCCACATTTATGGTGTTTAGATAAACACTGGATGGAGGAGAATCCACAAAATTACTTGTGAACTGAAAGAAGCTCCTTTCCATTCTGGGCCTGCCCTGATGAAGCTGCAGCAGAGCTGAGGTTTTTAGACCCAGTGACCCATATTTGGCCAGTCTGAGCTCAGGCACATCCCTGTCCCCGTCACAGGAGAGAGGTAGGTGCCTCTGAAGAGCACATCTGAGGCAGGGACTGAGGAGAAGCTTCCTGCTGGAGCTCAGGTGGATTTTGGAGCTGGGATGTGGCCCAGGGTGCTCCCCCCAGCCCATGTTCTCCGTGTTAAGCTTCCTCCTGATGCCCCAGGGCTGGAGCAGGAATTAGCATCCTGCTCCCACTTGGAAAGAACTCTTTGGAGCACAGCTGTAAAAGCAATCCCCACCTGGTCCTACAAAGGCCTCTCCCCGAGGCCCCGGAGGTGATTCCACGGAGGACTCCACGCCGTGAGTATGGCACACGGAGGCACGACGGCCCCACATCATCCTGTGGCTTTCGGTTCACCTTTTAATTTCTTTACCCCCCCCCCCCCCTTTGGTTCCGTTTTTTGGTTCTTTGGTTGTCTCCCCTCGCCCAGAGGGTGGTGTGTCTGTGACTTCCACACTTTGTGAAGCTTGCCTGGTCTCCTCCCGAGGTGCACGTCTGCATCCCGTAGGACACGGCCTGTACGAGCCTCCTCCCCGATGTCTGTTATGGTTTCTCTGCTCTTCTTCTTCTTCTTCTTCTTTTTTGTTGTTGGTTGGTTTGGTTTTTTTTCTCCCCCCTTTTTTCTTTTCTCACTTTTTGTTTTCTTTGTTTGTTTTGTTTTTGCATGTGCAGTTTTGTAAAGCAAACTCGAGGTACTGTATCTCGCAGCTCGTCAGTCTCCAGCGTAAATTCACCGTGAGTTGCTCTCTGTTACAATATTCAGTAAATGGATTATTTATCATTTCTACCTCTGTATTTATAAACCACCCTCTTTCCCTTTCTCCTGGTGCCTTCAGTCCCTCCTTGTTTTTTTCCAAGAATCATTCCTATCATTGTGGAAAACCTCCAGACCAACATCCAGTGGAAGGACTGGAACATTGTCATATGATGCTTGTGATTTGATCGTGAGCAACTCTGTAGTGTTTCATCCATTGACTGTGACTCTTCCTCCCCTTCTTTCCTTCATTTTTCTCTCATCTCCTTAATTATTTCCATCATTCCTTCCTTAACTCTTTCCCCCTCTTTTCCCATCTGCCCTCGTTTGATGGTTTGTCTCGTTCTCACTTGTACTTCTGTTCTCTGTGTTTATTGTGCACTGGGCTGATGGCTTTGATGTTCCACCAGTGTTTGCACCTCAGGTTCAGTAGGAGAACCAAAGTGCACTCTTTGAGTGCAAGCTGGAGGAGGACTTCCAAAGAAACTCCTGGAAACAGGGTCCAAGTGAAATTAAATTGGAAAACTCTGTATAGACATCCTTGGGAAACTGGTTGTGAGCTCTGACCTTCCCGAGCTGGAAATTCAAGCTACAGATTTTATAAAAATGAGGCACTTGGCAACTCCCATGGACCTGAGGTCGAGCAAACACAGTGGAAACCTTCCATTCACTCCCCGTGCTTCCTAACAAACCAATCTTGCTGGCTGTGCTGTCAATCAGGGGGCGCTTTGACGCCGCTGCAGGTTTGTAGAAAATGTCATTATTCTCCTCTGACTAATCCAACAAAACTCCTCGTGAGCTTCTCATTAACCCGTGGGAGTGTCTCTGCTTTGGGTTATCTCTTACCCTGTGATGTTGTCTTTCTTCTTTAATGCTTTTGGAGAGACAAGTAAGTGCAATTCCAACCCGTGTGGGGTTTGTACCCCAGCGGGGACCAAGGTACGGTGAAGGAAAGGAGCTTTTCCACCAGCTTCCTGACATCTTCCTTTTTTCCTGGGTGTCTTGGGGGTGTTTGTATTAAAAATACGTGTGAGTTTGGCTTCTGTGTGACCAAGACTGAGCTTTTGTGACTAACAAAAGTAGGTTTGATACGTCTGTGCTGAGGTTTGATGTCTCACAGCGCTGGGACAGTGAAAAATGTGGGGATTAAACCAGACCAAGGCAGGTTTGGACTCATTTCTTCCAATGGATTTCCTGGCTGCTGGGAGTCTGGACAGGCAGGAAGGTGCAGAGAGAGGTGTCCTTCCCTTTGGAAAGGGGAAGGAAATTTCCCCTTGTCTCCCACCCTGGCAGGAGGAGGGGGAATGTTTAAAGGTGGTGAGGGAGGGGAGGTGCTGCTGACCCGCCCTCTCCCCAACACTTGGATTTGCTCCAGTAAAAGTTGCACCAAACCAGTCTGAGTCAATATTTTCCCAATTAAGAATAAAGAATAAAGATTTTGGCCCCTTTTCCAATGTTCCAGAGGCAGAGCTGCCTTTTGTAAAGCGATGAAATCAAACTGCAGGTACTAAAACCCCCTTGGAAAGAGTTTTGGGTCTGTTCCCAACTCCCCACCAGCCACAGAGACGGGATAATAGAGGCTCCTTTTGCTGATATGACTCACATCTGTTCTCTGAACAGAATCAATTTGTACTGCAAAGAGCTGTCACTGAGGTTTCTCATCCTCTTTCCCATCTCTCTGCACCGTCTGGGCCATAATTTGTAATTTCCTATGCAAACCAGGGCTGCTTTTGATGGATGAGCTGAGCAGGCGTTTTTTTTTTCTAAATGAGAAATAAAGAGCATTTCCCCAGCAAACCCCCTTGTTTGGATGAAATAAATATCTGCACCTCACCAGAGTGTGCAATGTATGAAGTCCCAGAGACCACAGGGCATCAGCAGAGCCCCCTGAGGTGTGGAGGCATCTGAAGGTTTATTTACTCAGCTGAAGGTTTATTTACTCACCTGGTTAGAAATGGGGGGGTTTGATTTTAAATCCAAATAGATAAACTGGAGCAACCCCTCCCAGAGCCAGGCAGGTGCTGTGGATTCCCATTCCCTGGGTGAATGCTGGGACAGGTTCAGGGTGCTTTTATATCCCTCTAATTTACCCACTGGAAGTGCTTTGCTGTAATTACACTCAACAGATATAAGTGCTCTCATTTCTGGGACAGTAATCTACTAATCAAAAAGAGCTTTTAAAACTTGCAAAAAATCCCCTGTTCCTTTGCTTAAACAGTATAAAATACCCTGTGTCTTTAATATCACTAAGAACCAGGATTTGCAAAGCCACGCTCATCTGTCCTGAGAGAACAAAGCTTATTCCAAAACCTTTTGAGCTGGGTTTTCTCCATGTTCTTTCTTTGATTATTTAAAAAAAAAATAAATTCTAAATTTGTGGTAAATTAGAGACAAAATCCCTGAGCTAGTTTCTTTAAAAAACCAACAAATTAAAACCAAGGTGAGTCATTTTCTTGTGCTAATTCCAGCCTTTCGTGCTACAATAAATTCGTGATACAGGCAAGGCAAGAAGTACAAAATACATTTTTCATTCACTGAGAGGGGGTCATTAGATAGAGATATGCTCTATTTCTTTAAGTAGATCAGCATTTATCTAAAATACATACTGGCAGCTAATTTAAATGTACACAGGCAATGACACACAGCCAAGGGAATAATTGGGTTGGACTCTTCCAGTAGTGTGGAATTTAGGAGTTGTGATGTTGAATTTTCATATGAATCCTTATATTGCAAGGGGTGATGAAATCCCAACTGGTGCATTCACTCACCTGAGGTTTTCTTTGGGTTGCTGTTGTTGACTGTTCATTTCTAACAAGATCCTGAGGTGTCAAACAGGACAAATTCCATGTTCTTAAGGCAATTTCTAGGATGGTAAATAAAGGGAAAGTCAGTGTTTCACAAGGTGGGGATGATTTTTTTTCCATAAGTGCTGAACCTGCTGATTTTTTTTCCAGAATAAAACTTAGTTTCCTTTCCCACCCCAGTTCCTTCTTTCCCACCCCAACCAGCACATGACATCCCTGCTGCACCATCCCAACTGTGGACAGGCTGATCTCACACAGAGGGAAATGAAAACCCTTAAATATCCTCTCCCAGGACGAATTTGTCATTTGCCAGCCAAGAACCCAAATTATTCTTGATCTTTATCTCTTGCTTTTTTATATTCACTGTCTGGGCTTTATTTCCACATCCTCTTAGTGCCAAAAAAAAGGGACTGTGACTCCGTTCCCTGGTGTGTTTTGTCTTGGTTTTTATCAAAAGCCTGGAGTTTATGGGGGGACTTTGCTCTGGGATAATGAAGTGTCATGGCCAGAATGGAGAGTGGGGCTTCATCACTTGAGAGGAAAGCAATAATTTAAAGGAAATATAATTTTCCTGGGGTTTAGGAGAACTTAATGGCTCCACATACTTAACCTCAGTGTGTTTTTTGTTAAATCAAGCCATAGCAATGTGGCTTTTAACTGTGCTTTTTTTCTTTTTTGATTTTACTTTTAACTCTCTCACCCCGTTATTTATTACTGAGCCTGAAATTATGTGATCACAAATCATAACTGAAATACCAGACAAACCTCGAGGGCTGAAGAGGGATCTTGTGTCTGAGGACACCAACATAACTTGAGACAGAAGAAATATTTTCTGGCATTTTCTTCGGATCCGAGTCAGATTTTTATAGGATGTACTTTTACTGAAAACAATTAGGAAATTATTATTAGAGCAGCGGGGAGCAGCGAGGAGGGTGGTGAGTCGTGGCTGAGTGAAATCATTCTGCTGTGGAGAGCTCAAGCAGGAAGCAGTGAAATTTTGGCTCCTTTAACACCGGGAAGCTTCGGCTTGACTGAGCTTTGCATCCCTTCAGAGCTGCACAAAAACCAGGGGCTCAGCTGTGGCCAAACCCCAAAGAGCAGCATCAGCATCGTGTCATTATTCTAATGCCTGTAGGAAACTGGGGCCACAGACACCTCAGGGGAGTGGCAGCAAAGTGTTGGACCTCTCCTGGATTTTGATTTGATACGTTGGAAACTGCTCTGGGCAGATCCCACCTGGAGTTCTGCATCCAGCTCTGGGGCCTCCAATGTAAGAAGGACATGGAGCTGCTGGAGAGAGTCCAGAGGAGGCACCAACATGATCAGAGGGCTGGAGCCCCTCTGGAGCCAGGCTGGGAGAGCTGGGGGTGCTCACCTGGAGAAGAGAAGGCTCCAGGGAGACCTGAGAGCCCCTTGCAGGGCCTAAAGGGGCTCCAGGAGAGCTGGAGAGGGACTGGGGACAAGGGATGGAGGGACAGGACAAGGGGGAAGGGCTTCCCACTGCCAGAGGGCAGGGAGAGATGGGATATTGGAAGGAGTTGTTGGCTGGGAGGGTGGGGAGGCCCTGGCACAGGTTGCCCAGAGAAGTTGTGGCTGCCTCTGGATCCCTGGAATTGTCCAAGGCCAGGTTGGACGGGGCTTGGAGCAACCTGGGCTAGTGGGGGGTGTCCCTGCCCATGGCAGGGGGTGGGACTGGATGATTTTAAGGTCCCTTCCAACCCAACCCAGTCTGTGATTTTAGGAACTTTCAGGCTCCACACTGGCCACAGGAGCTCAGCTGCTCCCCAAAGCCCCCCAGAGATGCTCAGCATTGTCCCCCTTGGACTTCTCAGCTTCCTCCTCCTGCTGAGACCAATTCCCTGTGGCTCAGCACACCCTGTGTCTGCAGCTCTCCAAATTGTCTAAAAGAACAGGAAAAATGAGTAGAAATAACAGAATAATGATAACACTGGGAGGAAAAGGAATAAAAATATGGCATTTAGTGAACTTTGTTGATCCAAAAATTGGCATCTGTGACAGCCTGAAAGGCATCTCAAATTCCAGCAGCGAGTTTCTGAAGGTAAGGGTGTGATTTACAGGCAGTCTAGGCTTTGACCACATTAATAATTTAGAGTTCACAGATAATATGGGGAGAAATATTAAGGAAGAAAATGTTTTCTTTCCAAGAAACTGCCATATCAAAAATTCTCTCCTATAAACCCAAAAATTAAATTCAAGAATAAAAATTGGAAGGGACTGGGCAGCGTTGTCTGCAGGACCAGGGTGTGTGTGAGGCAGCAGCTCAGTGGGAGAGCTCAGAGCACCTCCTGGGGGAGCTCAGGGGAAAGAAAAGGTGCTGGAGCATCCAAGCAGCAACTCCTGGGGTCACTGGCAAAGCAAATTTAACCACTAGTGATGAGTTCACCTGAAAGAAAATCGGTTTATCAAACCCAAGAGAGACAGAACACTCTGCTTTGTGCTGCCTGCCCCAGACTGAAAGGTTTCCTTGTGTTTTCCAAGTGGAAAATGGAAATGTGGAGAGCTTATGAACTCCAAGTTTGTGAACAGAAAATAAGATTTTAGTGGGAAGGTTTTGTTGCATGGTTTTCTGGTTGGAGCTGTATTTTAACAAGAAATTCCCTTTTATGTGTACTCAGAACACACTCTCTCGTACCCACAGTCTAATGTGGAGGTATTTTTAACATCAAATTATTATGTTCCTCACAGTCAGCTTTCATTCATTATTTACTAAAGCAAAATTTTAAGGATTGCCATGAACTGAAGCAATGGTTGGAAAGGTTATGGTAACAAAATCTTTAATCATTCAGGAGTACCCTAAGATTAGAATACAACTAAAAATACGCTTTCCTTTCCTGAACCATCCACACAGTGACTGGCTGCCTTTTTTTCCTTATACCAACATGAGTCACTGATTCATTAATATGAATTTTATTTGATTCTACATGAATTGTGTGGTTTTCTTTCCAACCACGGGCAGGAGTTGTTTGTTGGCTTCTTAATCCCAGCAAAACCCGGAATTAGCAGCATTATCTACTACAACAGTTCAAGCCTAGAGGATCTGAAAACTGAATATAATGCCAGTATCCTTAAAAGAATTAGGAATATTCTATGGACAGAAAATATGGATGGGAAGGAATTGTAAAGCAAGAGAATTAACAGCAATGTTTGCACTATGTCTGCAAATCAGAAGTGATTTACAGGGCAATTCTTTTAATGGATCAGAAGGATTTTAAGAAGAAAACAAGGTTTCACATAAGAAGTTGGCTCCATAAATAGGTTTTTTTTTCCTCGTGGAATAAATATTTGTTATCACAAAGGCTCATTTTTTTACCAATTTGGACAAGTCATGTCCCGTTTGTGCTGTAGATGGGTTGTGTCTGTCCCTGCTCACGCAGAATTGAGTGATGGGGGAAGCAGAGGAAATAATTATTGCTCTGTTTTCTGTTTTTCCTGCCCCGTATCCTCCCAGGCAGCACGGAACGAAACGACCGTGCTTAGTTTTAAAGGTGACATTCCTGCTGTGCCATAAATGAGCCCCGGAGCTCCGTGTGGCCGAGCGGAGCAGAGCACCGGGAGAGGGGGAGCTGCCACCGGGAATCGTTGTTGTGGGAACTCGGAGAGAACCGAGACACAGCCGGACGGGCAGATGGACGCTTTCCCTCCAGCTGCTGCTGTTTTGGCTCCGAGAGCCCCAAAGGCTGTCCCCAGAGGGACCTGCCTGCTCGGATGCTTCGCTCCCCTTCCCTCCAGCAGGTCTGATGTGCCCTGGCACCGATGTTCCTCCCCGGGTTGGACACGATAACGAGCTCACTGGCAGCTCTGCTTTTTCCTCATTGGATTTTTTGCTGTGCTTCATATATTTCCTACTTGTTTTTTGTTTGTTTTTTTTTTTTTTTTTAAGTGTCTGTCCCTGTAGAACAAGGAAAGGATGCAGCCATTGCTTCTGAACCTCCTGCTCTTGACTTTTTAGCAGCCAAAGCCAGCGGGTGGTGGGGTGTTGGAGCCTTTTTGGCAATCGCCTCCGCTCCTCGTGTCAACGTTAAGGATGCAGCTCATTTCTAGATGCTGGGAAATTCCAGCCTGTAATGACAGTGGCTGTTTTCAGGAAGGGATTTTAGCCAAATAGGCTTTGTTAATATGTGCTTTCTGCAGGTTCTGTCAGCCAGGAGTGATGTACAGTGGAGGGTTTAGCACCTCAGAGGTAATTTCGAGGCTGATTTATGTTCTGGGTGTAGCTGAAACACAACTAAAAAACCCCCCTGGAGTGACACATCTTGTGTCAGAGCTGGCAGGGTCTGAGCATCTCCTCCGCCCGGCATCTTCAACCTTCCTCCTTCCACCCAGTCTGAGTTAGGAGATTTTCTTTATGACTTGGCTTGGATGGGCACTGATGGACAGGCTGTGTCCTTGGGAGCTGCCTGAGGATTTCCTGTGGGTTCTACTTTGGGGAGTCACTGCAGGGAGACTGAGGGCTTTGTGTCCCACCCCTGTGTGGTCCCATGGAAATGGAGCACAGGATGGAACATGAGGACTGGGTGGTTGCAGATAAACTGAAGGCTCCACTCAGCAGAAGGGCACTTTCCAAGGACTAAGGCAATGCCAGTGGAGGTATCACCATAACAGAGACAGAGAGGACAGGTGTCTCCAGGGAGAAAGGTGTTCCCATCTCATCTCCATCTTGGCCTACAGAGATGGTGAAGGGTCTGGAGGGGCCATAAGAGAAGCAGAAGAGGTGACTTGGAGGTTCAGCTGGAGAAGAGGAGACTGAGGTCAGACCTCACTGGGGTCTGCAGCTCCTCCTGAGGGGCAGCTCCGATCTGTGCTCCCTGTGAGCAGGGACAGGACCCAAGGAACAGCTGGAGCTGTGTCAGGGCAGGATCAGGTTGGATCTCAGGGAAAGGTTCTTCCCCCAGAGGGTGGTTGGGCACTGACCAGGCTCCCCAGGGCAGTGGGCACAGCCCCAAGGCTGCCAGAGCTCCAGGAGGGTTTGGACAGTGCTCTGAGGGACAGGGTGGGATTGTTGGGGTGCCTGTGTAGGGCCAGGAGTTGGACTTTAATGACTTCCCCTCACTCCTGCTGCCAATCTAACCGCTCTTGCTCATCACTAATTTGCTCATCTGGATGTTTGCAGGTGGGGAAAAGGTGCTGTTACTTGTGGGAAGCTTTGTGGGCTGTTTCAGAGCTCTGGCTGGGGTGTGTGATTTGTGTGCTGACACTTTAATCCTTCAGACTCTACCTGATGCTTCCACGTTTTAGAAATCAGGAGAACTCCTTTCCAGAGGGGCTGGTCCCAGGGTGCCTTACGTGTGTGTGGGCAAACTAACCCCGGCGATCCCGCTGGCTTTCCCTGCTCGTGTTCTCCGCCAGCCATTCTCTCTCCATTCCTACAATTCCTTTGGTTCGACCCTCTAATTCCCCATCTCAGCTGAAAATTCCCCTTTTCTTTTTTTTTGGTTTTTTTTTTGGGTTGTTACTCAGGGAATCGGCGTAAATTCAGACATTCACTTTTCGCCTTCCTCCCTTCCCCTCAGCAAGCAGCAGAACTCCTCCAAATCCAAGTCGGTCTGGGAGCAGAGGACCAGCCAGATCCGGATGCACAACTTCCGAGCCAGCTGCGAGGCCCTGTACAACGAGCTGGACCCCGAGGAGCGGGTCCGTTACGCCACCACCCTGCACATCAGGCCGGACATGAAGACCCACCTGGACCGGCCGCTGGTGGTGGAGCCCCGGAGCGAAGGCAGGAACAACATCAACAAGCTGAGCCCCGGGGACGTGCAGGAGGTGCAGGAGCACCCCAAGGGCAGCTCTGCCGACGGGGCAGAAGCTCCGCGGAAGCACCACCGGCACCGGGATAAGGAGAAACAGGCGGAGCAGGAGAAGGGCGACGCGCCCAAGGAGGAGAGCGCAGAGACCGCGGCCGCCAACAAGGAGGAGCGGCACCGGCAGCACCGGAGCCGCAGCAAGGAGGTGGAAGGCGGGAGCAAGGAAGGGAAGAGCGAGCGGAACAGGGGGCAGGAAGGGGGGAAGAGGCACCACCGGCGGGGCTCGGTGGAGGAGTCGGGGGAGAAGGAGCACCGCAGGCACCGCACCCACCGGCACTCCACCGAGCGCCAGGGCAAGGACGGCAACGGCACCGCCAACGGCGCCCGCGGGGAGCGGCGCTCCCGGCACCGCGGAGGGTCCCGCTCCGGCAACAGGGATGGGGAGCCCAAGGGGGAGAACGGAGAGGAGCCCCACAGGCGGCACAGGCTCAGGAACAGGGCCCTGTCCACCTACGAGTCGGTGGAGAAGGAGAACGGGGAGAAGGAGGCGGAGGCTGGAGAGAAGGAGCACCGGAACCACCAGCCCAAGTAAGTGGATTTCGTTTGGATACACGCCCTGGGAACTGCTCTGATCCCACCTGGAGCTCTGTGTCCGGCTCTGGGGCCTCCAACATAGGAAGGGCATGGACCTGCTGGAGAGAGTCCAGAGGAGGCCACAAAGATGCTCCGAGGGCTGGAGCCCCTCTGCTCTGGAGCCAGGCTGGGAGAGCTGGGGGGGTTCACCTGGAGAAGAGAAGGATCCAGGGAGACCTGAGAGCCCCTTCCAGGGCCTAAAGGGACTCCAAGAGAACTGGAGAGGGACTTGGGACAAGGGCCTGGAGGGACAGGACAAGGGGGAATGGCTTCCCACTGCCAGAGGGCAGGGTTAGATGGGATATTGGGAAGGTATTTTTTCACAGTGAGGGTGGGGAGGCCCTGGCACAGGTTGCCCAGAGAAGCTGTGGCTGCCCCATCCCTGGAAGTGTTTAAGGCCAGGTTGGACAGGGCAGACTTACCCCTGGGATGGCTCAGGGGCCACAAAACCCCAAATGTATTTCAGGAAATCCCTTATTCCCCCTCCCATGGCATTCCCTGTGGTCCTCGTGCTCACCCCACCTTCCACCATAACCTGCAGTCCTGTTTTACTCCCAAAGCTGATCTCTGTCCATAGGAACCAGGTTTTAAGGAAGGAAACATCCTTGATGCAAATACCCACAGACCCTCTAGGACATAACACAGAGCAGAGAATTTTACAACCTCTGAAAGAACTTTCCGAGGGACATTTTTTAAAATTCCCCCCAGTCTTGCTTACAGCCCTTTGATTTTCCTTTTTTTAATGCTGAGCCCTGTCAGCTGCACCACCAGTTGTTCCAGCACGTGGCTCCTTCCATCGAGAACAACGATGTCTCCCATTTGGTTTAATTCTTATGTAAGTCAAGTGAGAAAAATAGCACTGGTGGAGCATTTGGAGTAGTTAATAAAGAAGGATAGATTGCCTTTTCAGCTTTATTAGTCCAATGGAAAAGAAATTGCACTGGGATTCTTTAGAATAGAGTTCATGTCACCGTGGAGAGCTGTGAGTGGCACTGAGATAATAATTTTCCTGTCTGTATTATCTTGCTTTCAGATGAATTTCAAAACACTTTGCGTGCTGTTTAGTTTGCTCGTGTGCACAGGCTCCCTTTCCAGCTCACTGGAGTGGAGCTGCTGCTGCAGAGGAAAGCAGGAGCTCTTTAGCTGCTGACAGCAACGTTACAGAGCAGTTCAGGAGTGCCAGAGAGAATCACCACGTTCAAATAAGGCCTCAGGAGAGCATTAGGAAGCAGAATGTCAGCCCTCATTCAGCAGCCAGCTGATGTGGGGAGTTAATGTCACTGCTCCACCCAGGGCCACTTGGGCCTTGTGAACCTCAGTTATGGGGCTCATTAAACAGAATAAAGGGACACTCAGAGGCACAGTCCAGCTTAATGTTGTGCTTGGATGTTGGCCCAGGGGGTCTCAGAGGGAAAGGTCCCATCCTGTGCTATCAGTGAGTTGTGTCCTGCAGGCTGTGGCTTTTCTGCAAAGGGTTTCCATGAAGAGAAGGGTGTGAAACCCAGAGGTGAAACCCCAACTCTAACTCTAACCCAGAGGTTTCACAGAGGAGAAACCCTAAACCCAACCCTAACCCTAATCCAGAGGTTTCAGAGGTGAAACCCTAACCCCAACCCTAACCCCAACCCTAACCCCAAGCCAGAGGTTTCACAGAGGTGAAACTCTAACCCCAATCCTAACTCTAACCCTAACCTAGAGGTTTCACAGAGGTGAAACCCTAACCCCAAC